GATAATGAAATGCGTCAAATGGATCGATTGGGTGAAACACATCGTCGACGGTTTGTTAATCCACCATTCCGTCCAGATAATAAGCCAATATTTGATGATCGAGCATGACATTCCATACGAATTTTATTATCAAGTGTGAACAACAATTGATTCTTAGTTAGAATTTATCTTATCGATTTGATTAAAAAAAAGAATAAGCTCTCTATTAAATATTAAAATAAGCATATAAAGATAGTTGAAGAATATCAAAAGTAGTTTTTCTAATTGAAATAAAATTTAAAGTATTGTAGATCAAATTTCAAGCTATTTGATTGTTGAAGCTTTGAAAAAAAGTTTATCAGTGAGGCTTCATGGGGGAGGGGGGGGGGGGGGGCCAAAGGGGGGAACCCACAAACTCTGATAATTATAAATTTATTCTATATTATCAGAGGGAAGTGCTAAAAGAATGGATCCTTTCACTGCAACAAATGCTAAAACTCAAAATATTTAGACTAGTTGAATTCACAGTACGCTTTGGAAGAGCGTATCTTGAATTACTATACAATACTTCCATCATTTAATAATAATCGTTTTTAGTCTCAAGAAAATCTAATGTTAAAGATAGATAATAGTTAAAATATCGAAGGATTACTAATTTTTGTATAAAAAAAAAGTCATTTCATATAATATCGATTTATACTAAACAGAAATACAATTATGAGTATTTCTTAGGGCATACATACAATATAAGACATCATGGATGTTAAAAAATGAACAGAATTGAAATAGAATTTCTGAAATGAGCTAATGTATTTTTAAATTATTTCATTTATAATAGAATGGGATAGAGCTCGTTGGGCTAGTCCCGAATCCAATAGAGTTCAGGTTCAAAAATTCTCTATAAAGTTAGGTCGAGTTAAAAAAATTGAACCGAACGAGTTCTGGTCTCGGTGAAATTGAGCTTACTTCCGGCACCTGGATTCTTCAATTTCAGTAATAATTTGAGAAATGTGTAGAGTGTGTTTGTCACCGAACGCAGCAGCACAAAAGAAAGTATCTCACATCGTCGGGGCAAATATATAATGCCAATTAGAAAATTACATTGAAAGTACTAACATACGGTTCGACCAGCCTGAAAAAATTCGATCAGTCGGGCTCGGATCCAAAAGTTTTAAACCCGACCAACTATAGAATGACATTACAGGCAGCGAAAAAGCAGGCATTAGTTTGATTGAATTGATTTGATTCTATTATATTGATCTAGAGAAATGATTACTTGAGATGAAAATCTAGAATACTAAAATAATTGTTTAGAGAGAATACATAAAATAGTAGACTAAGATCATTTCAAGTTTATTTCATTTTACTTTGTTTCGAATTTTGTTGTTTATATCTGACAAATATGCAAATACTGATCGGAATATGTACAGGTTTTATTTGAACACAAATGAAAAGACTTATCTTTGTGAGATTCCGTTTTCTGTTCTTGTTCTAAATTTTCATGATCTTATCTCGAAATAATAGCTATTTTCTATTTTGAAAAAATTTCAAGGCTTTTCTTTGATAGAACTTCTATTAGAATACATCTATTAAAATACTATGAGGTCGTTTGAAATTATTTTTGTTTAATAAAAATTAAATCTAATGACTTTTTTTGTTTTAAAAATACATCATGCTTTACTTATTATGCAGTGTTGTTGGTCTTTATGATCATGGACGCTTACAAACACTGCTTCGAAGTATCCGGTGAAAACATCCGTCTTCCGGTTATTACTATCCGTAAGGTTTTGAAGATAATAAAATAGATGAATATAGCTTAAATGATGATAATCAAACAGACTACAACTATGATTATGTATCCTTGAGCCTCGGCAATTTCATCTACAATTTAATGTCATTAATAATAATCAGTCCATTGTGATCAACACTAACAAAAATGTGTGTTTTCTTTGGGTGTGTAATCAGTATTCATGGCGGTTATCTTATCCTGTTAATTATTCATCTATACTGGCAAGAGCAATTTAAGCCTACACTGCCTTTCATTACGATTACTTTCTCAACATATGTGATCGTTCTTTATGGTATCATGCACTGGACAAGTATTGAAAATATAGAAACAAAGCCTTCAATATAAAAAATTCATTTATGATTAAATATTGATGAATGTAATTCTTTTTGTGTAAAAATAAATATTATTAATTAAATAAAGCAAATCGATTATTTGTTGTACGTCTATTCAACAGTATATCTTTGCAATCACTTTGATTATGCAAACAAAAAACGACTCGTGTACATGAGATCTTTGTTGATTAGCTCTATTTGGCTACTTTTTTTACGAACGTTTTGCAGTCTTCATTATTCAAATAAAAAAGATCTCAGCATCTTTTAAAAATTAAAAAGAATCTTATTATAAGCTTTGTGTTCGAAATGAATTAGTAATCATCCAAAAATGAGAAGTTTGCATAGTTTCTGTAGTTATAGATTTGAAGAAGCGTTGAATAAATGTAATTTTTGAACTCTTACTAATTTATATTTTGTCGTTCGCTAACTAGGTTTTTCTGTTACCAATGAATATGCAGGAAATTTAGGCACGAACTTTATCTTTATTTTATTCCCGTTTGTATTTTTAATATTATCAATCTACATTTTTCAATATGTTCAACAAGATCTATAGGTTTTCAGTAGAGTCTTACTACATGTTCATGTAGCCAGCATCATCAACAATGCTGCATTTATTATTTATCCAGAAAAAAGTATTGTTTTTCGTTCAAAATGACGAAAAATGGAATAATAAGAAAAGCGATGTACCATTTAAACATAGTTCGTTGAATCAAACCCAAGTATTGACCATATTTCTCTCTTTGAAACAAAGTAACATTTCCTATTGACTTGGTGACTTTTATGACTAATACAAATTATGATAATAAACCTTTAATATAAATTTGTTTTGAATATCGCAATTTTTTTTAATTATTTTTCAAGAAAAAGGAGGATTATTCTCCACTATACGGCGGAAGAAATCATACTGGATATTTTTCAGGACCAAATGTAGCTTATGCACTACAAAATAGTAATTACAGCATTGCATTGATGTCATCAAAGTAATTTAAAGAGCAGATAACTGAGATATGAATTACTTTCTTTTTTTGCTAACTTTTGGCATTTATGCCTAATAGTCGAAATCTTAATTTTTGTGGTGTTTGTTACGTGAATAACTTTTTACAATTAATTTCCTTATTCTTGCGTGCCCTAAAAACAAAGATCACTGTATCTTTATTGCTAACGATCCGAATAATAAAATTTTTTAAAATAAAGGCCTCATGCGTCCCAAAAAAGTAAAATTCTGCTCATAAATGATTTTAGAAGACAACGTGGCATTACTAAACTTGCGAAAGTCAATTTTATGAGCAAGATTAATACGTTTTTTAAAATATCCTCATAATGCTCATCGATGACTAAATTTTTATGGAAAAACTGTGATCATTTTTTCATCTATAATGATCGGCTAAGGGGTCTTTGAAGATGTAGCACACTGAAAAACGGTAAAAAACAAGCACAATCACCGATATTTTGCTTATAACTTCACTAATCTTTGAATGCTGTGGTCAAAAGATGTCTCATCTAAAATGAAAGCTAAAACTATACTAAAGAATGTGGAAACATTTCAAATTCAGTTCTCTGAAAATTGATCATTCGAAAAATCTTGGACTGTCTAATTAACGCTCAGCAAAGATTTTGAACATCATATTGGAATTTTAAAAAAGTCAGATTTTAATCTTCAAAATTGAACTTCAGTTTTTGCTTCAATTTCTTCATCTACTAATGTGGGTATGAATAGACTGAACTTCTTTGCAATTTCGTCCTCATCCTCACCCATATCATGCGCATACTTTAACACATATATTCACACCTAATTTTAGTGGTGTTTTTAAAGTTTTATAGTTTTGAAGAGATAGTCTTTTTATTTGCATCCACATTGAACAAGCATTCATATACAATTCAAGTATGACAGGTTGTGCTAGCGTACATCGTCTATTATTTTTTTGAAAATTGCACTTGAATATATTATGAATATTTGATTTTAAAAATTCTTTTTTTATGATTTGAATGAGAAAAAACCATGTCTAAATTTAGCTACGACTTTTTGTCGAACACTGTTTTCATTCAGAAACATTGAGACTCCTCCGAAGCAATTTAAGATGTAATCAAGATTTTGTTATGTTTTAAAAGTCTAAATGAAAGTGAAGTTTTGTCTGATCAGATTTTTTATGTACTTGATTTCTTTGTTGAGAAAAACTAGATTCAATGTTGTGAGCTGACATTCTTTTGCTCATTTTAATTCCATATGTACTAAAATGATCATAAAAATGAATGGAAGCGAATTTCAAAATTCTGCTTCGACAAATGCTTTGCACAGGTATCAGCTTTTATTTGAAACCATCCCAATCTCTGTAATCTCTTCTAATGATAAAATTATAGAGATTCTCCTGAAAGTCATGCATAGATTATAAAGAAGCCAACAATTTACTGTAGTTTGACATATCGAACTGAAGTTTAAAAAAAAAAAGCTATAGTCAATCATTCCTGAAATTTCAGCCTCAATACATCATGCTAAGCGACGAGGTTTTTGTAAGGAGGGGGCCATAATGAAAAAAAAAATCATAAAAATCTGATGTTTTGTTTCTAACATTATTTATAACCGTTAAAACATTCATACTAATGTTAAAATATCTTTCAGTATACATTTTACTGCTTTAGTTGATTAAGGTGAAGCCTTTTTCTATCTTCCCTTAGTAGAACTCAATTATAATGCTAATTTGACCTTTTCGACAGCTAAAAGTATTTATGAATTTGTCAGTATTACATTAAATACTGGAAAACGAATTTTTCAACAGTTATTTATTCATTCGGATGAAAAATTTTATCGGAATATAAGAGCAAGGATAACAATGTGAATGAGCCAATATAATATTATCAGTTATAGTGTTCACTTCAAAATATCTCCATTTTTCGCTACTATATCACAATGTGTAGTTACTATTTTTATGTGCTCGTACATTTCCATCTATTAGAAACCATGGTGGATAGTAATATTCACGTCTTTCACATCCAGATGGATAAATTTTATCATGAATCACTAGACCATTAGCAAGATAACCTGCCCACCATCCAAATGTTCCACCAGTTATGATTGAATGTTTACAAAGTGAAAGTGTTATTAAATCATCACCTAGGGAAAATGATCCCGGTGTAAGAAAAATATTTGATCGATGGCGAAACAGATTTTTACAATAAGATTTATCATCACTTGCAACGATAAAATGAACATTTGAATAATGTGAAGTGTAATATTGAATAGCACCGAATAAATATTCATCGGCTGAAGAAAACTGTAAGACAACAAAATCTTTACGACGTACATGAATTCCAATCCATGTTGTCCAGTTCGATTCGGTTAATTGTTTTTTGAATGATTGATGGTTTTCTAACGAAAATTGAGGTTTGAAGTCAAAATTTCTTTCATAAATACCAATGAATAATTTTGAGACCTTCTGAAGTACAGGTCGTGTTGCGGCAAATATACGTTCTCGGATATCATCACTATATTTAGCAAAATGAAGATATGATTGCCAATAACCTGTCAATTCAAATATGTCGCCTGGCGCAATCGCATTCGGACGTGTTAATTCAGGAATATATTGACAAACAACATTCTTACTTATTTTAGTCATTGATTTTGAAGTATTGTGAATGATTGAGTTGAACATGGTTGTTGGAATAAGAAGAGGAGAAAGATTAAAAGTGAATAATGCGTTCATTTCATTGATTATTTTTGGTCTTAAATACAAATGACAAGAATGAAGACGAGCAAGACCATAAGCGCTAGCGATCATAAACATGCGATTACCAAGACGACCAGAATGACCTGTCACATGTACGATACAATATATCGTATTTTTTTGTGAAATAATTGTTGTTAAATTAGATTGATTTTTAGAAGTAATAGAAAGTGAGTACGTTACGAATTTTATTTTTAGAATATATAAACTGATAACAGTTGTTATTAAAATAACCAGTAAAAGTTGTATAGAACGCCATTTTGTTAATAAAAATTTTTTTTTAATGGTGAACTTCATTTTTTCAATAGTTCTTATCTAATAATTGAATGCATCTTAAAATAAGGTAGCCATCAGACCTTATTTTATATATAATCATCCAATTCGAGACGAACACTCTTGAGATTATGGTGTTCTTTTGAAAAAATATAATGTACATATTATACAGATATTTTCTTTCTTTTTGACTAACTAACTACATCATAAATGAGACATACTTTGTTTAAGACTATGACGTACTTGTATTTTCTTTGTTTTTAGCTACCCTATTTCTGAATATTTTTTTCCGTAAAGAATTACTCTGCATATTGTGCTCATTCGTAGATGAGATATCAGTATTATTCATCGGCTTCCGTTACTAAACAAAAGAAACTATGTAATACAGTGCGTGCGCAACTCGAATTTCAAATTGAAATGCTGGTTCATTTTTTTTATACATAATTTATTGGAACATGTGCTAATGATCACGCAAAAGCTAACTGATGAGGCAGAAATAACGAGGCACTTTTACATTTCATTTTATCATCACTTAATATGTTGTATAAGAAAAATACGTTACAAGATGCAGCGTGAAAAGCTCTACAATCTACAAAATAAATCTTATTTTAATTGTATAATTTCTGTTATGAATCAAAAGTAAAATTTTATGCGACCACTGATCGCAGTGTCGAAATTTAATCACTCACAATTTTGTTCATTTTGAAAACAAAACATGTAACTGTAAAATAAGCTATCCCTCATAAACTGTAGAGCTTTCCACGCTGCACCTTATGGTATACGTTTTTAAATATAATGTATTAAATGCTGATAAAATGAAATGAAATGCAAAAGTGTCCCATCATTTCAGCCTGATCCGTTATTTTTGCCTTTATTGGGCACATTTGTTAGGTCGGAAAAGTTTCGAAAGTTGGAAGATTCCGTTTTTCTCGAAATGACTTTCTTTGAAAAATGTACAAAACATTTTCGGTTTGTCCTTCTTGACTGCTTTTGAAAATAGTAGACACTCTCTTCTTTCATTGTCGATCACTGATGAGTCCTTTCTGTTGATTTAGGAGAACATGGAAAGGACAGTTCTGTCAAAAAACTTTTGAAAATGAAAGGAAGGTTTTATTTGTGGGTCTTCTCTTCATCTATACCAACAACTACACTCTATTGGATTTTTGTGAAACGGAATCTAAAAGAAGTATTGAAGTATAAAATGAGATTTAGAAAAAGTCCGTTCTACAAACATGATAGACATAATATCAATACAATTCTCTATCACAATTTTTATTAACTAATTATAAGGTACGAAATGATTTGTAGGCACGACGACCCATGTAAAAAAATGTTTGCAATTTAACGAAGTTTTGTGACGTGAAAATTCGTTACAAATTTAAAAATTCTTCACGCGATAGTTTATGAAAAAAAAAGCGTGAAATTACGTTAAACACTTAACCCTTTACCCCTCACCACTAATCTAGCAGAGCTGATATTGATTCGACTACAGGAATAGATCATATTAGTGCTCAATAGAACCTTCCTATGACTAAATTCGAGCGCATTTCACTGTGTAGATATTAAATGGGTAAAAAATGACCCATTGGTGTTGAATGACATAAAAATTAGACAGTTCACTAGTTTGACTTTTTTGAGTTCTTTTCTTGACTGCACGCTTATTTATCTATATCAATCTATAAATCTTTTACTATTAAGAGTCGTTTACAAGAAACAGGATATTTTTCAAAATAGTACGTGACAGTTTTATGCCATCAGAACCAAAGCTTACATTAAAAATAGCAAAAAAATCAATGGTAGTATGTTAGATATATCTGTTATTTGTTACTATGATAGTCTCTAAAACAATCATGTATTGCACTAAATCATAAATAGACAAGTCACTTGCATCACTTTCACTCGGATCATAATCGATATTCAAATTATATAAAACATTTCAATCCGATCAAGTTGTTGAATTACTATTTTGAGACATTATTTGAACAAGGTAAGTTAATACAATTGAATAAGATAGAAATAATCGCAAGACAAAAAACGACAGCAAAACGAAATGGTGAGTGAGATATTTATGTTAAATAAATATGAATAACACGAATGAAAAAGTGTTCCTTGTTGAAGAGACAAACTATTTATGCAGAAAATACTGTGAGAAAAGGGGGCGAAGAAAGAAGTCGAGAATGCTCTTTTATTTTATTCTGTTGCAGACCAAGAATTATCTAAGATGGATAAAAACAGGGTAAAGAGAAACTGATTTTCTTTTCTTATCCAATCTTGTAGTTGCACAAAATTGCTGCCATTTTCAATTAAAACAGAGTAATAAGTCAAAAAGGTAAATGCTTGAAAAAAAGAACGAAAAAGAGAATCAGAGACGAAACAGTTAATGGGCGACAGAGAGAAAATTAAAGTATACAAAGAAGAAATATTGACATGCGAACAACGATGAATATCATTACTTGGGTATAGTTATTGAGAAATGGCTCTCGTTCAATTACATGTAACTCTGTAAGTCTTATCAAGGTATATCAACAGGACGCAAAAAACGCTTGATATGTACACAGTCGGTCATATATCATACGAAAGTACTATGAGATCGCCAAAAGTGCGGTACACGAGAGGGAGAGTCACGGTTTTGGTAGTTTAGCGAAGAAAGAAAGTCATAACAAAAACTAAAGATCTCTATCTTTTTCCGATACAAGGTTGTTGAAAGACTATTACGACTTGCTTTTTAATTAATTATTAATCATAATAAATGTTTTTAGAATGAAAATATTGTTAATAATGAGTTTAGATTGAAAACAAATCACCTGCCAAATAATACATTTTTTCATGTCATTCAACACCAATGGGTCATTTTTGACCCAAGTGGTTTCAAAGAATGGCCTTCCAAAGCATTAATTCATTAGTTTGTGAAAACCTTCTAGATAAATGGTTGATGTCTTAAGTAACATATATCCATCGTTCAAAAAAATAAATGATTAACTTGTGCTAATAAAAAAAACAATAAACAAAAAAATTGGATTTTTCAATTTTTTCGAAAAATCATGATCTTTCGGCTCAAATATTTTACCAATAGACAATGAGAAAAAGGTAAATTCTTAAGCAGATTACAGTACACTGAGTGTTGTACACAATGTTAAAGAACCTTCTTGATTCGATGCTTTATTGCTCCAAACAGATAGGCTTTGTAGATGGGTCAAAAATGACCCACTGTGGGGTAAAGGGTTAAGCTAATGTATTGGTTACTACTTAGAAATTTTTGTACCTTGCTATTGATCGTACATCGGATGGACTTCTTTCACTGATCGATATCTTCCAAAGTTCCATTCGTCTCAAGAGGAATATTCAACAAAATAGTTCAATACTGGACATACTTTCTAATAAGATGCTTGATAAAATTTTGTTATCACTATTCTTATTTCGCTACTGATAGCAAAATCGATGATGAAGTACATCATTTTTTTTAACCATGAATCAAAATTCAAATTAGTTATGTCACTACTCGCGTCTATTTTCAATACGAATACACTAGCAATGTATATCATAGCATGATAAGACAAACCAGTTCGAATTTTGATACATGATTAAAAAAAAATTATGTACTTCATAATCGATTTTGCTATCAATAACGAAATAAGAGTAGTGATAACAAAATTTTATCAAATATCTTATTAAAAAGTATGTCCAATATTGAACTATTTAGTTGAATATTCCTCTAGAGACGAATGGAACGTAGGAAAATATCGATCAGTGAAAGAAGGGTGTGGGATGTGGGTGTGGGTGAGTGTGGATATAAATGCATTTTCACCCACACCCACAACCATTGCATAGTAGTGTCATTCCATTCTGTGGATTTTTACGTTCGAATGTTCTATTCAATTATCATGTATAGCGCTGCACGACAACCATGTACATCACAGTTAAAAGATGCAGAGAAGCTTGAAAGACTTTAAAAATCAACGTTTAAAAAAAAACTTTATTTTCTTCTGTGGGAGGGTTCAGAAAAATCTATGAAATATCCTTAAAACTCATCATAAAATCAATAAACTATAGTGTGTTCGAAAGTAGACACTCAGCTCTATCTAACGAGCTATGAATCACAAAATTGATGGATTTGACCAAAACTGACTTTGGGGGGGGGGGGGGGGAGGCCTGAAGACAATTAAAAAATTCATCCTCCAATAGGAAAACAGTTAATAATTTCAATCTCACCTATTAAGAATTACTTAAAAAGAGTTTTAACTCTTCATGAAGTATTAGCATTAGATAATGGTCTTGATTTTATCTTTCCTTCATTACAGTTTGATGAAGAAATATATATAGCAAATATTGAGACTCTATTTGTCAATTTACTTGGTTATTATTCGAAAAAAACTGAATATGATAAACGTGATATTGATGAGAAAATTTCTTATAGTCTAACACCAGAACAACTCTGTTTAGCAGATAAACTACGTAAAATCTATGACACGTTTAGACAACATGGAAGGAACTCAATACCACGATATAACAAAAGAAATAGTTCCAATATTTAAAACATTGAAGAATTTATCTAAAGATAAAACAATATATATTACACGTGCAGATAAAGATCGAGCGGGTGTGTGGGTGGGTGTAGGCGGGTGGGATGTGGGCTGCGTGTAGTGGAAAAGAACACCTACATCCACACCCCACACCCACACCCTCCCAAAATAAATCGCATTCAACTATTTCTGTGTGAACAGGAACAGCAGTTGTATCGTGTTTCACATTTTAATTTTTTTGAAATTGCTTTAGTCGCTTTTCTAATT